TTCTGCACGACATTCCCATCCAGATTTGGGAAATGGGCTGTTCTAGGCTATCTATCATCAGCTGGGGACAAGGGCTGGCTTGGCACAGAAGAATACAAATCTGAGAGACCACAGCTTGACATTTCCCAAAGACTGCAGGGTTAGGCTATTAATTGCAAAAGCTAACCAGGGGTCTGACTTATTTGTCACTTTGATGATTATAGTCTAAAAATAAGTAAAAAACATTACAGGAATAAAAATGCAATTAAATGGCACTGAGAGGGCAAATGCTAAGAAGCTGAAAGGAAATAGACAACATGAAAATACAAACTTAACATTAAGATGATTGTCTGAGCATACCTCGCTTATAGTCAATTAAATGCCATTCTAATGAAAGTTTTAGGCTTTCTCAGACTAGTTCTGGCTATGTGCCAGTCTCTTGAAGAAAGTTGTAGAAGCAGTGTGCAACTGGGACTAAAACAGAGAAAATGAGCCAGGAGGAAGCTTTTTGGATGGACTTAAAAAACAAAACAAAATTTTGTATCTCAAAAATCAAGATTTATAAGGGTAAACGCTTATAAATTTTGTCCTGGTGGAAATCCAATATTTTGAGAGAAATGGGTACTTACTTTCATCTAAAATGCTGAAATAAAAATGAATATGGAAACAATATAGTGGTATCAATCAATATACAATAAAACAACTACAATAACTCCAACTGGAAGGAACTGTGCAATAAAATAAAATGTTTAGTCTCTCTTTTCCCCTGAAGTCTCATTAATGAAAAAATTACAAAACTTTTTTAATAGGAAACATAGAAAAAAATCTATGACTGAAATTGTCATTGATTATATCTACTTAGAAACATTGACTTGAAATAACACTAGAAATTCAAAACTTATCAGAACCTCTGGTTCATCATCAAAAAACTACTGCATGTATTTAATTACTTCTAAGGATTTTCTTTTTCTCACACATTTTTTTCAGCATGTATCTGTGTAACGACGATGGAAACTACTGCAGTTCCATTCTATTGATCTCTATTGAAGATACAGCCTACAGTAGTAGAGTTTTCCCACTAAGAGAAGGTCTCATTGGACTGAAAACACAGCTAACCATGATAATCATGTCAGATGAAACCTGCTTTGCACTAGGAACTACTAACGGCAAAGCAATGATTTGTCTTTCTCTACAGGACAGTTAGCTAACAAATCATCTACTTTATATGAATAAACAGCTCACTCCTCATTACACCAGTCATTGAAAGAAGAAAATGCATCAAGAAGGAGTTAATTCAATGAGAATATCATAAAAGAGTTCCATGAAATTGGATGTGAATTGTGGATAACAACAACATCTCGCCTCAGGCCATCTGTTTCTTCACAGCCATTTCCACCACCCTCTTCAAGAGAGTATAAAAATATACACTGGTTTATATTGCTTATATTATTGAAAAATTAATTAACACTGTGTGCATTTTCCCTAAATGTCCTCTGAGCATTTCTGAGTATTTTATATGGATGGGCTGTTCCAATGGCATATAAAACATTTAATGTCAAAAGCGAAAGCAAAGACAACAGCTGTAAATCTTGATGGTTCTGTTAGAATGCTTCAGATCATACTGCTTGGAGCACTCTGAAAAGTACAGAGTGTTACTGAAATTGCAAATACATCAGATTTTAAAAAGGCCAAAAGATGCCAATGAGGCCAGCACTTTGCCAGTTTGTTTAGATTCAGTATAGCTCAATATCAGTGCTGATAAATATCACTGTACCCATTTTTATAAGGTTTTTGAGCAAATAACAATGCAGAGAAGTGAGTTCACAATACTAGTGTGCAACAGCAAATTCACAGGCAATGTTGCAGTGCTACCACATAACAGTATGTTCCAATAGCAGTGTTTAAATAAAATCACCTTTTTTTTTCTTTTTTACCAGTGATGCATCTTTTTTGAATTATGCATTTTTTACATTTATACATAATTGCAGCTGGTTTCAATAGAGAACTTTTAAGAACAATGATAATTACAAGTGAAGCAAAGAAAGTGAAACCATTAATAATTTATAGTAACAAAATTCTTTTGCTCTGATGATCCTGAACAAACAGTTATGAATTTAGCCTCACAATACCCCTGTGAGGTAGGTAATTACTATCAGTCCCATTTTACAGGTGGGGAAACCAGAGCACATACAAGGCAAGTAAATTGCTCAAAGTCTGGATACAGAATCCAGGTATCTGACAGCCATCTTCTGTTTCTTAGCCGCCACATCACCCTTCCCCACTAAAAAAAGATAACAAAAATATGTACAAATACTGCATGTGTGCATGCACACATGAGTGACTAGCAGTTGTGCACAGAAGCACCTCTGTGTTTCTGAATATTCATGTATCAGGATTTTAGATACATATAAAGAATAAAAAGATATTTATTCTTTATATGTATCTAGAGATTTTAGAACTAGCACTAGTGAGTCTTTTTATTTACAGATAAACCAAGACACCATGAATAAGAAAATGGTAATAATACTTTCTCAGTTTTAAAATAATTCATTTAAAAATTATTCTTGCAAGGAAATTAAAGGCTTCCTTTATTATCTGCTGGGTATTATTAATACAGTTATGGCAATACCAACATGTCTTTAGAAAACTGTTTTTAAGACATGACAAACCAACCTCACAGGAGTGCTGTATGAATCAAATTAATAAGCATTGGAAAAAATTATTACAGGTATAGACTGTGCTAAGCGTTAATTAGAGAACCAAGCAGTTAAATATTCTAAGTTCCAAAAGACTCCTGTGATCAGAGACACAAATCACCCTGAATTGAAAGTATCAAAGTAGCTGTTAAAGCATAAATTAGTTGTGTGACCTAGTTCCAACAGAGTCCTTTGCCAGTCAGACTCACCATGTGAGAACAACCCCAAGCAGGAGCTTCCATCCCATTCCTTGTCTGTGAAGCTGGTTTGTCACTCACCTGCCCTATACAAACAATCTATTTCAGATTTATTTCACAGGAACAAGTAAGATGGTCACAATGTTATTTTATTCTCTGCTCCAGCTCATTTCTACTAGAAAAAGCAAGAAGAGCTGGTGAGGAGAGAAAGCCCCCTGGTGCAACGATCCCAAGAGTTTCCAATTTATAGCATGTTTTGTATATGCACCTCTCTTCAAGAAACCCAGACTCAGATACATTTAAGACCTTGGATTTCCACAGTCCGGCACACAACAGTCAGCCAGGGCATTGCTTCTCTGTTAATAAGTTTACATGGCACTATACAACTAAATAGGCAGAAATCTTAGAACAATTTTTGTAATTGTTTTCCTGAGCGGTTTGCAAGTGCTTTTCAGAATCTTCACTCTAACTTCTCCACCTAGTTCCTTACAGTAAATTTATAATCTAGAGTTTCTTGTGCTTTACTCATACATCCTATGGGGGTTCATGAGAGCCTACAGTACTACACTGAGTTACTACCTCCCAATCTGCTGCATTTGATGATAATATGCTCTATATTCACAGCTACATGGAAGAATGATTCCAATGCATACACTGATTTTAAGACAGTTCTTTTCTATTTAACTAGCCTTCCTTATTTTCTGTTTGCATTTCTGGATGATGCACTATCTGTATCCTTCTCAAACAAGGTGGTGTGCAAGCTTGTCACTAGCATCGGTATGACATTCAGTGAGTACAGAGTTATTTATTCTCTATCAAAGGCAAAAAGTGAAGAGATTATATAGGTTTCTGAGAGAAGCATCCTAATCCCAGGCAGCTGTGACACACAGGATGCCAGACATTTAAACTCACCACACAGCACCACACTTGTTTTCCTATCTGGCTAAAATAAACCACAGAGAAAAGACAAGAGGAGTGTGGATTCACTGCATCGCCATTCCCTAGGCATGCAGAGGTCAGGACTAGGAAACTCTGACCCAAGTGACAAAACTGGGATTAGGAAACAAGGACCTGACTCACAAACCTTTCTGCAGGCAGCTCCTCCAGAAACCCTTCCCCTGCTGTCCCTGCAGAAAAAGGGGCCAGTGGTGGTAGGACTGAGAAACACCCCTGGTGATGGGAAGGGAACAGGAAACCCTAAATCCCTTCCCATCATCCCCATGACCCTTTGGATTGTCAAACCAACCCCCATGGAAAAGGTCAGGTTGGGGTTTGCCCACTCCCACCAGCAAGGGCAAATGCCAGGGGAAATCCCAAACAGGGATGCCCTGGGAAGGAGATGGAAGTGCTACCCAGCCCTTCCCAGAGCAGAGCTCTGACCCACCCAGCACAGCTGCCCTTATAGGAAGTTTTAAAAAAATAATCATACAAAGAAAACTGTTTAAAAGAGGTATTTACACTCTCTGCAAATTTAAAAAGAGACAGGCTACCAGTCTAGGGTTGAATAGGACAACTCATCTGGCAGCTGCCATCATCCTAGAGGGGCTCACTCAGGAGAAAAAAAAGAAGAGCAACTAAAATGACTGTCTGCAAGTGAAGGCACCTGGTCTGGAAATAGCATCAAGCTGGTGTTTTTCTTTCACATGGGATGGGATGGGGGGAGATACTGCTGCTGATAGTTTTTCGGGACTTGCTACACTTACAAGAGTATTATTGTATATTACAAGAAATCCTAATTAACATTTTACTTCTTTTAATCCTCAGAAGAGCCTAAGCCTAAATTTGTTAGATTGTCTCACATGTGTTTAAGTTAAGAGCTGGTCTCAACTAGGAGTGCATTTGTCTCTCTCTCAGTCCTTTCCCAGTACAGAAACACTTGGCCTACTAAAAAAATTGTCATTGTGATCAACCATCTTTTCTGGTCTAGTCGCTGTGTAAAAATCACCTTTTCAGGCTGAAGACTCCCAGCCTTCCACTGAAAACCTCAATTAAAAATATAATTAAAAAGTTACAGTCAATCATTTTAAAAATAAACATAAAGAAAAAGAGCATATACAGAAAAGAAACAAGGTGGCATTGAAGGTGCCTAGGGCTACAAATTTGCTACCATAGTTTGAGTTTCAAATGAGTTCCCAGGCCATTGAGTGAACACAAGACATGTTATCCTTCGCCCTTGGTAACTGAGGATGGATGCTTTTTCCACAGGACTGATAAGAAATCTCCTCTCCATCAGCATTTACAGCCATGTTTGCAATTTTGGGACATCACCAGGGAAAAATAAAACGGTAGAGTGAAGAGTCTTTCGGGTTTTGCGTTCAGCTGCAAATATCAGCTAACCAGGTAACTGTGCATCTCTCTGGAGTTGATGCTCAAAACCACGCCTGAGTGATTGCCTAGGGGAATACAGAAACAAAAGGCCAACATTAGTGCATTTCAGGTACTCCACAATAAATCCCCCTTTTATTGCAGAGACAAGTAAATTGCATAAGAGAGTGTCTTTATCAAACAACAGGTCAGGTGAAGGTTGGTGCAACAGCTCCATGTACCTACAGCACACTTTTGCACAAAGCTTTTGCTCATGGTGGTGGATTTGTGGTGAATTCCTAGGGTTTCTATCCCAGTGACAGCATAAGTTGGTTCTCTTTGTGGCTTATAAAGGTGTAGTTGTCTCGAGGGGTGCAGGTGAGGGAGGAGAATGGAACCTGAGGCGTCCATTCGACATGCCACTGACCTGGGACTGGACACTGACCGGCATCAGCAATAAGGGAACTCTGTAGCTGTTCAAGTTGCCACTTCTCCCAGAAGGAGTCACTGCAAGGTAATGGTGTTGAGGAGTCCCAAGGTGGGGGTTGCGATAAAGTAGGCAACATAAAATATATAGAAAACAAAAAAAGTGGATGGGTGAGTCTGGAAATATTGTACTGTGGAAATTCAAAAGTTATGAGAAGAGAGAGAACAAACAGAAACCCAGGCCTGTAACTCCCTGCTGCGCATGGACATCTCCCAAGAGGGAGGGAGAAAGATCACCAGAACTAGGAGGGATCTCCATAGCATAGGAACCTTCTGCAAATAATGTAGTAAACCAGAATTTAATATAAAGCAGGGATTATAACATGTTTCATAGTCTAAACCAGATAAAATAGAGTATCATTAACGGGAATATTTTCTTGGCAGTACTGAGCAATACCGGAGCTAGTGGAAAGTATTGCAAATAACAAAACAGTAGAGCGAGCAGGAGTGTAGTTTTATGTATTAAATAACATCTTCTGTCTAAAGGCTGTACAGTAGCTGACAAATACAAATGATTATGATCCACAAAAATGAGCTTTTTACACTCTCCTGGAAAGTCTGCTGCTGCAGACAACCTGGCTGAAGCACAAATCACCTCAAAATCACATTCTCATTCTTATGTCATCAAAACATCATATCTTGTACTCTTCAACCCAAAAATAATGCTCTGCTCAGATGGAAGATTTTTGTTTCCTCTGAGTAACAAGTGCAGGGCAAGCAGAGATTAATGCTAAAAGTGTTACAAATCAGGGGAGCATTTCTTTATTAGAGCATCCCAAGCTGCCTTCTTTTAAATAAGCCACGAGGGATTTTCTACCATTAAAAGAAGTTATGCTTTTGTACTAGAGGTGTTTGAATGCTCCACTTTAATAGGCATGTCTGCAAGGACCTTGTTAGCATTCAGCTTCTCCTCTAAAGACCCTGGAGACGAGATGACCAAACAAATTTAACTTAGACTTTGTTTTCCCAGGTTTGTTTTTGGAACTAACTCCGGTAAAGTCAGGGGAGCAGCTAAGGTCGTCTTGCAAAAATAGAATGAAAACAGTGATACTCATACACAAGGTTGTCAGAGAAGAGATAGAAATACACAAAGCAAAGCAAGAGGCTGGATTCTTCCCTTGTGTTCAAAGCTAATACCTCCAAGAACCTAGAAGCACACACAGTTCTGCAAATGAAAATAAAGACATCGACAACAAACAGAAAAGGTGAAACCCAAAATAAAAAAAATCTCTCGTCAGACCAGGTTCTGTCTTGCCCAGGCTACCTCGGGTGCAGCTTCTTCCTTGGGGTTCACAAAGACATTACAATTGCCTTTCACACCATCAATCTACTGCTACAAATCCCAAAAGCTTTGGATCATCTGGTTTATTTTAACAAATTTCCAGTAAAGGAACTGGGTGTTGTTTACATTGTCCTACAGTTTTCAGACTGTGACCTGAAAGCAGCCTGAAGACAATGTATTATAGATCAGAACTCCATGTTGCATTAAAACTAACCACAGGGTGCCAGGATATGCACTTCCACCTGACACTGAAATCATTTGCACTGAGATACTCACAGAAAGTTTCCCTCCTGGGTTCTTTATAACCACCTCATGAATACTAGAAAATCAATAGCTAAATTAAGGAAGACTTATGATACTTTTAATATATGAATAAATTTAATGTTTCTAATAACAAAAACTTTAAATGCCATTGGAGTATGAAGGCAAATAAAGCAATGGATCTCCATACAATCCATCTGAAATCACAGAAGCATTGACTCTACAAATCCTTCTGGCCTGAACTCAATTTTCCACTAATTCAGAGGATTACTGAGTGAATTCAACTGTTGCAGATTATATCCCATTCTACCAAATATAATTTATCTCTAAAACTGTCTAAGTCAGTCTCCTGACATTAAACTACTATGTCTGTACTCATGCTCTATATAGCACATCATCCATACATTAGCCTGTATCTCAAGCAAGCCAAAAGGTGATTGAGATAATCCCTTGTTACTGATGTTACCATTTGCATCTTTTTGAGACTGAACAGAAAATGAGAAAGAATTAAAATGAAAACAAACATCAATTTAAAATCAATTACTTATGAAAATGTATAAGCTAAAAACGAAGTTACCTCTTGCGTTACCTAGTGTTTGAGAGTCCAGATCATCATCAATAAACTCCTCACCCTGGATGATGTTCTGGGTGTCCTCACTGTGATTAACAGGGCTTGTCATCTCCTGCTCTTTTTCATTGTGCATCTGGGCGTAGACATTTCTGCCTGGCAGTTTCCTAAATGGGACAAGAAGAAAAAAATTTGGGATGGAATTCTTTTGTGTCATACACACATGGGCATCAGAGCAGAGTTTCAGCAGGGCAAAGCTGTTCCAGAACAAAAAAATCATCATCACCAATCCCATCCTTCCTTAATTTGGTGATTATAACCTAAATTTACCAACTCTTTGTTCTCTGTAACAGTTTTATATAACTGCCTTATCAGGATCTTCAAACTAACATAATATTTAAGCATCCATTTCTAAGATTAACAGACAATGTTGAAAAAAAATTATTAAAGCCACAGAAAATCTATTTTAAGAATTCAAGCAATAAAAGAGCCCAGTGGATGTTCATTTGTGATCCCAGGTGTCTTCACATACATTAAGCTGGGCTGCAATCATGATCACATCTCCCTGAGCACTGAAGTGTGATAGCATCAGATGGCACTCATAGCCAATCAGGGACAGGGAGAAAAAGTCAGGAGAAGTCCAGGAAACAGGGAATGGAAAGGAACAGACTGAAGAGCCAGGAGGCCAGGACCAAGGGGGACGGAGTAAGAACATAAACAGGCATCAATAGAAGCACAAGACAGAGGCTGGTTAAGTTTAGCAGGCAGCACTGAAGGAGACAGTATAAAGTTTGGACTGGGAATTGATGAATTAGACAAACTCCACAAGAGGCAATAATTCACTCACTCTGACTGGAATCTAGAGAAACAAAAAGCATCTTATTAAATTATCACCCTGGCTGAGACTGAGAGACTTAAGACTTAATAAAGATAAGGGGTTCTTAACTAGATTAATTTAAATTAGACTTTGTCAACTCAAAGGGAAAAATCAGGGACTGGGAGCTTTGCAGCAGATTTTATGGTTCAAACATTCCTCAAGAGCCATACCCTTTGTGCTGTAGCTGTGCTCACCTGCAGACTGCCTAGGCACATGGGGACATCCTTTCCCAAGCACCAAGCAGACACTTCAGATTAGGGAGCTGCAGGCTCTAAGCTCCATTTCCTACAGTGCCAGAAGCTGCTTGACAGCTCGAGCAGCATGACAGCAGATCATGGCTGTCAAAGTCTGTGCTTAAAGCCAGATTATTACAGTGGGCAGAAAAGAAAAACAACAAGAAGAAGAGAAAAATCAGGGTTGAACAGCTGTGGTTTCTGTTGAGCCCCTTTAGACAGTGAGAGAATAGAAAAAGTGACATTAATTTTTAGGCATCTCTCTAAAAGCAACCATCTCCTGCTCCATATTACAGCAGCAGTTTAAAATATACAGATTATTCTATTTTCTCCAGGCTTTTGAAGAAGATCTGTTTTAAATGCCATTTCACAAGAAGGTGTCTTTAGCAAGGGGCACCATTTTAATTTGAGATAAAAAAACTTAACTGCAACAAACTATTCTGAAAAACAACTTCCATTGCATCAAAGTAATGAAAATAAATGGAATTTACTAAAAAATTAAAGATGACTGAAGATAATCTCTTTCTTTTAATCTGAGCAATCCAAAAGATAAATCGAGTCCTATATATCTATACAAACACACATATCTGTATAGGTATGTGTATACGCACACACACACAATTACATCTCTAAATAAAAATTAGGTATTTTATCCCATTATTTATAAGTAGTACAAAACCAAAAGGAAAAGGACAAGGATGGAAAGAAGGTCTGATGACACAATGCTGTGTTATTATGATCACTTCAACAGGTCTGAGGGCTCCTCCAACAAAAACATACTCGTAAAGCCAAGCCCTGCATCACTCTCCTTTCATTATATGGATTTAAAAAAAAAGCCATTTTGCAAGAGGGAAGGACATTCCTCATAACCAAAACAAATACATTAGGTAATTAATTGTGATTTTGTTTCTCTAGGGCCAGTAACTCCAGACTGTTTTTAATGTGTCTGGAAATGAAACTGGTCATGTAGAAAACTATTCTCTCAATCAGACCTGCATCAAACCTGTCAAACTGTTCACTTTCAGTCCACCATCAAAAGCCTAAGGGAGACAAAACCCAGAAGAATGTCTCTGTAACACATCTGCAGAATTAGCACATATGTTTCTACAATAATTACAATAACCTTCTCCAAACTATTTCTGACAGATTGGAGAAGCATCGATGGCATTATCAAAACAATTTTGACATAATAAAAATGTTAAACACCTCAAAGCCATATGGCACATCAGACCTTTGCAGTTAAGTAAAGGGAGAAGAGCTGCTAGTGTGACTACTGCCTATGAAACCAGGTTAACAAAGTGTGTCCTTTGGTGTAAATCCTGAGGCTTCAACTCGCAGCTCCGGCATGACTTACCAGTTAGAGATACCATTAACAGAACACATACTAGTAAAGATGTTCAGGGAGAATGAGGAAACCTCTCAAATTCACAACCAACCATTAAATGTATTGTTGCTAAGACCATTTCCTCATGGTTTAGGAATAAAAGGAGAAAAAAAATAATGTGAGCTGTTATTTCTCACTTGCCACAGCCTGCCCAATTCTGCTAAGTGCAGATCTTTTGGGGAAGGTATAAAGCTGAGGTACTCAGTACTTCCACACTTTCCTTTGCTTCTCACACTTACCTGGAAAAGACTGACATTGAATGGATTGGAGGGAGGAGAATATCACAGGCCTTGAGAAGACATGCACTGTAGGCATTCGACCTTTTATACACTACAGAGATCTCTCTGTGTTTCATGGTGGTTCAGTTTTAACTCAACCACCCTGAAGGAAATGATAGTCCAAGCCTTTTCAAGAGGCATTTTTAACACATGTGCCGGATATTCTGTTTATGGGGGATGACCACACTGTGGGATGAAATAGGATGTGGATACTGGAGCCTTGCTAAAGATGGGCCTGATTCTGGCAATTTTGCTTCTTGAACATGCAGGAAGGAGGCTGCCACCCCTACTCACACAGAGTAAAACTCTAGTGTACCCTGATGTGCTTTGCTCTTCTTCAAGAAGTGGCTAATTTTGAGTCCAATGTAACTGTTTGAAGCAGGCAGAGCTGAAATTCTTGGGTCTACATAAAAGACTACTGTGAAAACATGACAAGACATGAAATTTGACCCAAGAGATTTGTATCAGCAATATGAAAATTGAAAGCACATTTAGAAGAACAGACAAGAAGATTATGCAATAGTTTCTTTGGGAGTTTAACTCATCTGCAAAATGCACGTGCTTCACATCCATCACTGGAGACAATTACCTCTTCTGAGCAGCACTCCATGGTTCACATTTTTAGTTCCTTTTGTTTTTCCTGTAGCATTTTATTTCAATCATGAAAAAGGAGAAATATTATGCCTGCTTTGAGGACCATAAAACTACAAGCTAGAGATGTAATTCTGCAGACCACTACTAAAGAACATCACAGCACATGATTCTCACCAAGCTCTCCAGGTCCCACACCTTTAAGAAGCTATTCCAGGAAGTACTTTGTTTTCCTTCCTTTATTCACAAAATCTAATCAATCCATACCCCAAACTGTTAGCACTTAGAAATGTTCAGCAGGAAGGAACAGCAGGAGGGGTATGTGATATTGATTCCTACTCATTTAAGCTCTAGTTTATTTGGCTTCAATTCCTTCTTTGTGGAAAAAATATCCATTCGCCTTTATGAAACTTCATTTATTTTCCAAAGGCTTGATTAAAATTCAGTTTACTATAAAAAATATTAACATATTCACATGGCAAAGAGTATGGAATAATGTAGCATTTTCTTGGAACTTAAATAAAAAAAATAATAATCCATTAAATAGAATACTTTATTGTGGTGTTGACTTTATTATGTTTGGATAAATGTTCAGATGACTGATTTCTTTGTGCTTTAAGGCACTCCTGATATACTTGCCTCTTTCATTTCTGAAATCTTTTCTCCATGCTATTACTTTGATTTCTGAGGATGTTTTTACAAAATATTATGGAACATTAAATTAGTGCCTGTTTTTTTTATCACTAAAAGGCATGGATTGGGACTAAGCTTGCTCTCATGGAACATAAAAGTAGTATAAGCAAGGTGGGGAAAAAAGATAGCTTTTCTTCAGAGACTGAAAATGAGATAGTAAGTCAATGAGGCAGAAAGATAACACAGTTCTGCTCCAGATTGTGGAAATGACCCAAGAGGGGGTTCATTTACCAAAATTGGTACCTGATAGTAGCAGGCAAAAAAGGAATACACACCAAATGGGATAAATCTGGGTGAAGACAATTCATGGTGATTTGTGAAAACAATGCATGCAACTTTAAGTAGTAAAGCAGTTTGCAGTAGTTTGCATACAAATTAAAAGGTGAAGATTTTCATACTCTTTCAGAGAATCGAATTTGCTGCAATTAGCCAGGTAAAATACATAAGCACAAAAGCCAGCTATTTGCTCTGGTTTGGCTACTCTAATATCCTGCTATTATACACAAATGAAAAATAAGAAAATGATGATTTCAGATCTTCCTCTAGTAGCATGATGATTACATGGCGGCTTTGATGTGGCTAAAATATAATTTTCCTTTCCTCCACTTTGCCTGGTGCAGACAGTGGTATTTCCCTTCTCTATACTGTTGCCCAGGATCCCACACCATAAAGCTTCTTCTGAGAGGATGAAGAAATCTTTTTCTGGATGGCAGCTTGAAAACCACAAAAAAAAAAAAAAAAAAAAAAAAAAAAAAAAAAAATACAAACATTGTTTCAAAGGGAATGGAAGAAATGTGTTTTTACTGAACCAAATCTAGTAAAGATGGCATGGTATAAAAAAATATATGCAGATCCCAGATCCACATTAGGAAACAGCTCTGGATTTTTCAAAATTATTTTCCAGCTGCTTCATATTGTTGTGGGCAAAATAAGCAGCTGCAGTCCATTTTACCTGGATGCTTAAACAACTGGAGCATACTAGTGAGTATTGCAACATGTTGTTTGCTTGAGGCACCCACTCCGTGGTGCTTTCCATAGTCAGGAAGTGAGAGCAGAGCAGAGCATGGCACTGCTTCACTCGTGGCTTGCCCACCACCCACAGCTGCTGGCAGCTGTGCTCTTCCTGCACAGACAAGGTTGGTTCACCTGCAAGGAATGACCCCTTGCTCCTTGTTGCCATGCTCAAAATTCCTCACCCTAAGCCTTCTAAACCAAAAGCTCAGATAAACCAAACAGCTCATTTGTTGAACACCATTAAATTTCGTTTTTAAAAACCCATCACATTTATCATTTGAAATTTATTTGCCCTATACAGAGTAAAAATAGCCCTAATCTGAAGTCCTTATCTACTCTGATCACAAAGGATCAAACCTCTGTGTTTCTGAAAACATTTTGGATTCTTCCTTTTTTTTCCTTTGTTTAAAGCAATGAACCATGGCTTGGGGTTGCCACAAGTCACTTGCTGAGCTCTGGGGACTCCAGCACCAGTTTTTCTGGAAGTGGCTGGACGCACAAAGAAACCATCAGATGAAGTGGGGGGGTGCATGAATTTCAGGAATGGGGACATGAAAGGATAAACACTTGCAATTTTACACCATGTAAAAACAGAGGGCAGCAGTCTTCCTAGTCAATGCCTAAGTATTTGGGATTAGAGCATATAAGATGTGACCTACAGTCATCCAATCATTAGCTAGACAGCCATAACAGCTCTGGTTATCCAGCAGATCATAAAATTACAGACTTCAGGAATAATTTGGGCATGCTTGGGGACAAGATGTTTCAGCACTCAGAATCCATGGGGCAGTTTGGCCATGTTTTGCCATTTTCTATCAAAGCTGTAGGTCTACAAAAAGGCCTGCTATTTTCTCTCCTTTTTTCATCACAAGTCTGAACTCTGTCACTGCAAATAGATGACATGCTCTCGTGTATGAAGCTGTAAACTCTCTGCCAATCCAGTTACCATCTTATTTTGCAAGCCAGTTTTTCCATCTTGCATCTTTGCAGGTATCAAAATTAACTTTGAGCTAGCAAAGAGAGAGAAAGCAGCCCAAGACCTGTTCATGCAGTCTCCTGCAAACTACCTGCTTAACATGTGCTCCAAGGCTAGCTGCAGGTCCTCTAGACCCCATTCAGTGTAGTGATAAAACCAAGATCCAAAGAAGTTTCACTGAGGTAGGGAAAAAGGAGTTTTAACCCTTGTATTAATCTTCATGAATGAAGGGAAGGCACCACCAAATGTCTTCCATCTCCTCCTTAGGTTTGTAAATCATACATCATAATTATGGACAGTATTGCCATTTCAACACTTTACACATCTGTAATTTCTCTGTGGAATTAAATAATCTTTCTATTTCCCCAAGTTATCTGAGTTACCATAAGCCACAGTAATTCTGAAATTATCACTTAAAATTTAATATTTTTTATTGCCTATGGCATTCTTTCAGCAAATTAATTTTTATATACCCAGGCATATAATAGTGAAAAGTCTCCTTAATGTATTATCACTTGCAACTTTTATATCTATAAAGGACACTCATTTCATAGCCTCAGTCCCTGTGGACCAGTTTGTAAACTTACATACTCACTGTACTGACTTTAAAGGGACTGTACTCCCAACAAACACTCCACAGGGATCCAGCAATGCATCAACCATCTCCATCAACACAGGAAAGACTTTTAAAAAAGGATTCAAGATTTTGGTGGGACAGGAGTTCACAGGGAGCCCATGAGGAAAAAGTGATTTTTGAAACATAGCACTGATTAGGTGCTTAATATTGTTTGAAGAAGAAATTGCAAAAGAAGGATGCAGCCAAAAAATTGTCAATTTTGAAGAGCTTAGCAGTATTATTTAAAAAGGATTCTTTCAAATATCTCAGAAACAGATAAGATACAGACTAAAATTGAAAACTATTGCACGGCCATTCATCAATGCCAACAGCAGTTTTCAAGCTACTGACAAACTTTTGAGTATATCTCACAATAGTCCTCACTTGCATCTAAATAACCCCCAGCCCCCAAATGTAAATGCAAATGATTTTCATGAATTATATACAGAAGTGCAAGACACATTCAAGCTCACAATTTGGAAATTGTACTATATTTTCCTCCTTAATAAAAGCTCCACTTATGAAGCAATGGTTCATAGAGCATTTTAGAAAGAACTCAAGGAAGAATATGTTTCTATTCCTTTCTTGAATATTTTATACTTCTTCTACCATGCAGTAATTGTGACTGTTATTTAATTGCTCTCATTTAAGAGCTAATAAAAGATATAAATCTGATAGCTTTTAAAAGATATCACAAGGAAATTCTATGATCGAAACACAAACAGAAAATCCTCCATTGTATTGCTATTGAAATAATATAATTACATCACATCAACCATTTTTATGTTTTTTCCTTGCTTCAGGCACCTAAAAGAGAAAAATGGATTTTTATTCCATTTTAGACAGGCTGATTCAGTATTCTGTGCTTTGTCCTTTAAAGCAATCAATCACCATGAACTCTAAAAAACTCAGGTTCTTGAAGAAAAATGGGTTTTTCTCTGTTGACATAAAAATCCTTTAGCTAAACAAACTCTTACTTAATGCTAGCTTCATTTACTGCTGTCACAAACTTAATGCTGATAGTTCTCTAAACTTGTATTTATTTTAAATAAAAATCACCCCCTAAAAATGAGGCAAATCAGTATGAATCCCCACTGAGGAAGGACAACAGGAGTGATGATGATGATGATGATGGCTTGTTTCCAGTATGCTCAAACCCAACAGCTTCTGAATGCCCCAGAGATACAGAAATGCCAGTAGGATAGACAATGATAACACTGTCCCATGAACAAGAACAAATTATTTAAATTACAGAGCAGCTCAGATTAAAATTAATTGCAGTCTAAAGATATTACAGACTGTCCAAGGCTGGCATTGCTCAGTTTTGAGAATATCCTTCACAGAAGAGATATTTCCTGCAGAAATATTTCTTCCCTCCACACACTCTAGTGCCAAGTTAACGCTAATTTCTTTCTGTCAGTCATTTTCCATGGCATTGCCTCAGCAATTAAAATGTAATGTGTGCAAAGAGAAGCCCCAGAGCATTACATGCTTTGATAAAACTACTTTTTTAAGCAAATCAGCATTGCAGATGCACTCCCTGTCCCAATAGTTTTAGCTTATTCATAACTGTTAGGAGTAATGAGAAGGGAATTAATCAGGAATGAATTTTAGTTCAGCTATGATTTTTGATGGTATTATTTAGACAAACTGAACAAACTCTCCATAGTTCCTATATGTTGATATTTATCTTGGATCACAGCAAGTGAAAAAAGCAACAGTTTAGTACCTTGATGTCTGAAAAGTTCAGAAAAATACGACTTTTCAAAGGGGTGCACTTGCAATTCTTCAAGAAATCTTCTTTATAAATGACAAACTCTGTCTTGCTAATTTATGAATAAATCTAATTATTAAAATGCATCTATTGATTAGGGTTTACTTGCCTTTTGAACTTGTAGAGGATGAAAGCCCCAACAGCAACTAGACAAACAACAAAGAGAACCACAATAGCCCAGTAGCCACTGCCTCCTCCAATTCTCTGAGAGTCTGAAACACAAAATAAAAGAACAGTTTTTCATGTCCCCTTCCACATCATTCACATTCTTGAGCATTCTTTTCTATTTAATTATCAGGTCAAAAACATTGGTTGTTGTTTTCGCAACCTCTTTCTACCCCATCTGGCAAAACCACAGAATTAGTTGGTGACTTGTTACTGAAGAACAGAGGACCCATTAAAAAAACAGAAAGCAACAAATAGCAAAACCCAAGATCCTGAAGATTTAATTATTTGGGTACTCAGTGGTGGTTTGGGTTTTTTTCAGGGAATCTAAAGTTATCATAGTAAGTGATCACACACCCTAAGTACTTGCTTTGCAAAAGCAGGGCTGTATTAATTTCACACATGGAGAAACTAAGGCTCTGAACAACAAATGAGCTCATCAAGGTCATGCGTTGGTAAAGGCAGAACGAACACGGACTTCTTTCAATCCCTTTTGTGCTGGCAAAAAAATGTCAACCCTTTACGCCAGACAAGGTACCACAGTGAGACTGTAGCACAGTTCTACATTAGAAACTAGATAAAAGAGCTTTGTTTTCTACAGAGAGATGACAGATAAAACATCACACCATAATTTACAAAAATTGATAATGGCTGGCTAAAGCTGTTCTCCCACAACACAAATTAATAAAGGATATATTATGGGAGATAATACACAAACAAAAATCACAGGACATTCTCATAAAAGATTCAAATCAAAGCTGGACTTTATGCTTAAAACATCATTTTAACATCTCCCTATTTAAAATACACACATACTCTCTTCAACCACTTTCCATCAACAGTGAATCCAGGGAGGCAGGAAATGCCAATTCCCCTTGCCCCCACCCCATTTCCATTTGTTTTAAACAGAGAAAAAACACAATTTATCTCAGGACAGGATTAGTAATGTGGAGACCCTACAGCAACCTCCCCATTAGTTGATCAGAAGATCACAGATACATAGCAGAGATGCAGCAAGCCTTGTTAGACCCATGTAGTCAGAGCAGCAGTTAATGGCTGACATAAAGGCAAAGATATTCTGCTTTCTTAGCAGCCAGTGCAACCTAAAGTGCTTTTACGTCACCAGAAGAGTTTTTGAAGCCTTGTTGGGTCTTCCTTCAGAGCACTGTTTTGTACAGTGGAGGTATTTACTTTATGTTGTGGTTACACAAAAAAAGCAAGAAGCATGTGATACAAATCACAAGATATGACAAAATGGAAACATTAAAAAAAATTATTTGGTTGTGACTGTTAATAACAAGCAAATGAAAATGTATGTGTACATATATATACACATATATATACATATATACACATATATACAAAAATAAACATTTGTAAAATAATATATGCATCTATGTTTATTTATATGTAACGAGTATCAAGTAAATATATACATATGTGTTACATGTACACATACATGATTTTCTCCCTAAATTATCAATACTTGAACAGGCATTCAAAAGTTGGTCCATTGATAGCTTTATTTATATATTTACCTGAAGCGGAGTCAGCTAAAGTCACTAAGACCCAGTATCCTCCCCTCAGAAAGAAACTGATGTTGTGTGCATTCAGGGCCTGCTTTATAGCTGCTATTCTCTGAAAATACAACAGAGAGAATGTCAGATGTCTTGTGTTCTGTTCCACTTTGAGACATTCAATGTTTTAAAAAGGAAAACCTCTGGTTCTTTAAATGGTGAAAGCACTTGTCAATGATGAGCTGAAATCTAAAAGAAATTCAATATTTAAAAATCAAGCAAAACTCCAGAAGACATAAAAGCTGACAACATCACAATTTTATAGCCAAATCTTTCTTTTTGATTACCCAAGTCTTTACATTTACCCACTATGAGACAGACAGCAAGCAATTTGCACGTGCTATTGGGTTTACCTGGGCCATAACTCACACAATGCATAATCCATATTAAAAGCCCTCATTCTTCTAACCTATCAGAAGAAAACCTGTGATGCCAACTTTGGATTTTTTGCCATGAAAATAAACTACTACTTAATAATGAACTCCATGTCATAATTTACCTTACCTCCTTACCTAGAATGGAATTAATTCCATTTATAACTAATTTTTAACAATACTCCATAGAAATAGATACATTCATTCATGTGGAAAAAAAAATCAGTATTCCTCCCATTTTCCTCCAGTGGATAGAGCAAAGTGAAATATGGTCTCTCATATTTTTATGGAGCAGAACCATTAAATATACCCTCACATCCTAACCCCGGATGACAAATTGTCGGAATTATACTTTCTACTTGCTTGTGTCTTCAACATCGTCAATTTTCTAAAAGATCAAAGCTAGTTTTATACTCTATGCTTTATAATTTGGGACACGACTTCCCAGAGGATGCCAAATTAGAAATTTACTTTATATCCATGAAACCTTCACAAGTAACTCCTTTTACGATATTATCAATTATGGTGCTCATCTTTGACAAGCTTTTGAAGTATAATGGATAAAGATCCCTGTAGTCCCTCTCATATTATGGACAGGCACTATACAAAAGTTCAAATATCATCATTCTTTTTGAGGAATATCTAACTTCTGACGCTATTCCACTGACTTTATTAAATTTTTTTTATGTGGGAATGACTCAACGTAATGGTGAAGTGAGCATGGCTTCAGTTATTTCACAAGACAATTACAGCAGACAGCTCCTAAGTATTTATCTTGTTGCCTAAAGCCTGAAAAGAAAATGCATATGAAAACTCCACTTAGGAGTAACTCCTCCTTAGGATTAGGAGGCTTTAAAGTGATGCTGCTATCAATGAATAAAATTTCTTTGTATCAATCCAGGGTCATTCATGAGTTCACGGTGTACAGTACCAGAGAGACAGCTACTTTAAATTAATCTGACTTACATCCAGTAAATGAAATTTCTGAGCTCCATAACTTTTGATTCTTCATGTTTTCCTGGCAGGTTCATAAGGAACCCAACATTTGGTGTGGTTTTTGCTTAAGTGATTAAGACTTGTTTGTTATTTAACTCCCCACTGCTGGATTTGAACCCAAATCTATAGGAACAACATGCCCCCAGGTCCTCAGGTAAAAAATTTGAATCTCATGTGAATCCAGCCAAAGGTTCTGGCTTACTTATTTCACTGAAAGACTAATGTCTTTTTCAGTGCTCATGGGGTTTTTTTCCTGTCCCAAGGTATTTGTTGAGCTCCTCTCTAGACTTAACTGGAAGGTTCAAATACCAGCATTTGAATTTTCCATCTTCCTTTTTTATATCCTTTACAATGACAATATTTGAACATGTTAACACAATGGCTCCTGCATTATAAGAATGTAAAAGAATGAAAAATAATGACACTGTTCAAACTCTTACTCACATCTACATCTTGGGTTCTGACTTTCCCTTTTTGCCAAAGCAACTCACTAGGAATTTTCTACTTATGTGAAGTAGTTTGTCTGGATAGAAATCTTCCTCAGAGCCCCTGCCTTCCAGATTATAGTTTAATTATATTTTAATTGATTCTTTCAACTGGACTTATCCCACCTGACATTAGACATGCAGTAGATGTGCATAAATTAAGCAACCAAGTCTTCTCTGGAGTCAATAATTAGAAAGGAAAACTTTTGAAATTTCTCTGTTCTTGAAAGCAGGTTAAATCACAGTCAGCTTTTATTTCTCTCTGCATATATTTGAAACAAAAAGGGCTCTTGTCAGAGTGGAATAAGATTTCAGAATTTCCAAAGGGCTCCTCCTACTGCACTGACAGCTTACTTACCATCTCTGTTATTGATGGCTACTTTTATCAGTAATGATTCATATTCTACATGACTAACCTAATAAACAGCATCACATCCCAACACTCCATGTAAAGCACCAATAAAAACTCCAGCAAGCAGCTGTTCCCTGCCTGAGCAAGAAATTATTGCCTTTAATCTTTCTGAAATAATGTAATATTCCCAAATCTAAAAGGTTTTCAGCCAAGAACAAAGAGGTTCTCTTTAAGAAAAGACATTTTATAACTATGCCTAAGTTAAAGGTATCAGGGACACCTCCTCCAAATGTGCAGAAAACATTCTGCATTGCTGGGTCCTCACAAAAGTGTCACAACTCTGACTTTGAGAACTGGCATGAGCAGTGTGACAAAGCACATCTTTTCACTGATTCATGATAAAAATCTTCAAGATTCTCTTCTAATAACAGAAGGGAATGTAAGGAATCTTTAAACATATGACAACATGAGTATTTTCCTCCTGACTTACCAGAAGCTATTGCTTCTAAGTTTATTTATATAGGATATATTTTCAGGATATTTCTCAAGTCACAATTGATTCTGATAGAACACATTTTATCAAAATTTTTGCCATTCAAGTCTAAAGCAACACATTTATATGCACATACCAATAGCTAAAACAATGTCTATTAGCAGTAATATAAAACCAGAAATGTAGGCAGCTGTCACAAGAAGAGTGGCTGTACATCTCTACAGCACTGTATTTTAAAAACAGTCAGTGTTGAGATGTGAGACTGGTGTACCTGACTTATCATCACAGCACAGCAAAGGCTGCTGTAATTGCTCCTGTCTCCCTTGTTCCTGCTCCAGCCACGGGTCTGACCTGGTTCATCCTAACAATGTCAGAAATGTACATAAATTCTCCAGATTATACAACTTCTTTCCCCTTCCCCTGCTCCTCTAGCTCCAGAAAACCTTTGCAAGGTCTTACTGGAGAACTAATTACAAAACTGTGTCCTGCTACACTACTGGGACATCCCTACAGCCCCACTGAATGGCAGCTTTTCCAAATCATTTGCAGCATGGGATTGCTCCTCTTTATGCTTTAAAGTAACTCACATGATGTTTCATACACAAACATGAGAACAACCTTGAGACAGCATTGATTTTTAACTGATACTCTTTAAGCTGCCTTGAAGCACAGCACTAAAATAGAAATTGAGATTTAAAGGGAACTAATATGCATAACACTTTGCACTGAAGTAAAATGTTTGTACAACCAAAATAATCTATCTCCATTAGTTTCCTTAAATTATTGAACACATCCATTCCCCACTGGCTCAGAATAAGGAATTTCCTTTAGAAACTTCACCTTGCTTCCTCAAGAAATGTACATTTTCAAATAATTTTGAAGGGGTAATGTTCCCCTGGCTGAAAGTCTTAGTCCATGAATGAGTCTCTACAAAAGAAACAACCTACAAAAATTAACTATTTCCTGCAACATAATCAGGAATTCAGACTCCCAGGAATTCTCACTGTGATTACATGGGAGAACAGTAAGGGTGTCTGCCAAAAAAGTAGAAAGCTTTGTGCACTCACACATTTCAATGATAAACACCTGTTCAAGTACTTGGACAATTTCAACATACTCCTTTGCACCTTCCAAAGTACATCTCATGAACTCCAAACACAACCTATTTGGTTTATGTTAATATGAAGAGCTTTGTCTTGCCTACTCCCCCAGCTTTTCAGAGACCATGACCTTGTCTTAGAAAGCTTTAAAATGCCCTTCAAAGTTAAGGACACCTTACACTGATTCTTTCTAACTGGCAGGACATGAACTGCAAGGTACAGGCACAGAGCTAGGATCTGTTTCTTCTCTATCACAGCAAAAGGACAAATATAATAAATTGTACATGCCAAACAGTCTTCTGGTTTTCAATGGGCATGAAGTCTCTAAAAACGGAGGAAACATTGTTTGAAAACAACTAGGGAGAAACTAATGTCTGATTTTCAATCCTGTCTTCACTAAATTTGTTTTTTACCAATTGAAAATGACATTTTCTTACAAGGGCATAAAGTACTTGCTTGATGCTCTTTACATTATGGGTCAATGACTAAGGTTCTGGGTTTGTTTGGACCTGAAATCTAATTTCTTTCTGTAGACAGTGCAGAGACTCTGTTCTACTGGATCTTCACAGAATGACAAGTATCACTGCTGTTTCTGTTTAAAAGACAGACCAATATTAAATATTCTTGAGAAACACAGTAATACCAGAAAGTGGATTGTGATTGTCTGGACACTGTCAAACACATCAGACATAGCTGCTATAGCATTCACATGTATCTTGTCAGATAGGAGTGAGATCTTTACACAGGCAGGGATCACCTCTTAATTTCATATAAAGGCAATGAGACTACAGCCACTTAGTGCAAAACAGGATGAAGGCTGTCCTAAGCAGACGTGCATTGCTCTGGTTACCTTATCACTTGTTATGCTTCTCTTCTTTTTTGGCTGATTTGCTGGTAGTAGCACGTGCAAGTCAGCAGCTGTGGGCAGACCAGGTTTCACAACTGTCATGAGTGTTTCTTCAGGTATACTGGTCTCCTGTGAAGACAACAGAGGCACACTTTGTGTCTTATATAAACTACATAAGTAACTCCACATATGGCTTATAGAATTCATTATTCAGATCCTTAATATCTGAAGGGAATTCCACTAGAAGCTGAAACATGAACAAAGCCAAACATAAATGTACTGAAATATGAGTTGTTCTTTGAATACTGGAAGACCTAAGTGATGTTATCACATTAAAGTAATTCAGTGGCATCAAGAAAAGAAGCAAAATGAGGAGGTTTTCAGGTTTTATAAAAACTGCAATGGGTGAGCACTTCTGAGGCAACATACAAAAAAAAATTCAAAGTGGTTTAGGATCCTTTGTGGGCCATTCAGACACAGTGTAGACTTAGAAGTGAATACTCATTACAGCTAACTTTAGCTTTTGAAGGTTGCTTAGGAAGGTGCTTAATGGACAGAGAGAAGTTCTTCAATGTGAGACTAAGAACACTCAGGTTCAGCTCCTGAAATTGTAATGAATACCTTCATTCCCCTGCTGAAAGTCAAGTACATCTCTTTGTAAAATAGTTTGTGCTAATTTGGCTTTTAGTCCTGAATTTCTCCATGTTTTGTACAATGTAGCCACACAATTCTAGTGACCATACCCTAGGCACTTTCCTTGGCCTTCCTCAAAGAGATTCTGAAATTCCATTAAATTGTTCATATACTTTGATAAATGTTACAGTAATTATTAAAATGCAAGAGTTATTTTATAGGGGAGTAAAATATTTTTTGACTGACACTAGTGGAACTCTTTATGGAATGAATTTAAGTTGATAAAAGCAAGAAATTAACTTGTCATTTGATAAAAATCTCAAAGAAAAAAAAGCAGGAAACTCTATAAAGTCAAGAAGTTTAGAACCTGATTTGCACAATTGCAAATCCAGGATGAGTAAAATGATTTAAAATTCAAATATTTTATAAACAATATCAAGCTGTACTTCAGTGCTACTACTCTCATGAAAGCCAGTGTGTGCACTCTCAATTGCTGGCAGGGTGTGTGCCTGAAGAGCTCTCGAGCCCAAAGTGTCCATGAGGTGACCTAATGCCACAGCACTAATTCATAGTTTGTATTTGATTTAACCTACAGGATTCATCTGTTCGAAATCCAGATTTCTTTTGTGAACATGCTCTGAAAAACCACTGCATGAATTGAGTGCCTATATATTATACATAATTTTCAAAGTTACAGAACAAGCATAGGAAATTCTTTCTTTCTGGTTTTTTTTACACAAAGATGATGTCTTTTATATTACTCATTGCTTAGCTTCTAAATCTATCACATTTAAGCTACTTAACTCTTCCTGCTTTGGAGTCATCAGTGTTTGCTAATATGTCTACCCCTAATCCCAGAGAGCAATATTTAGCATTAATTGCCAATTAGGCTGTGTTAGACCTAAACTGTCTGTGTTACAATATCATCGTCGACAGATTGCACTTAAAAGTGACACTAGCTCAAACTTGCATGAAATGTGGCTCATGAGGTTCACTTTATCATTTTGCTCTGCCTCCATTTCAAAATACCTTCTAAATGAGAAGGTATTAACTTAACCTTCAAGCTGTACAACTGGTGAGGGAACATTTTATGACCAATCTGAAGGAGCACCTTCGCAAGGAGTCGCGTCACCACCCGCCCGATGTCTTCCCTCCACTCTGGTATGTCGGGGTTGTACATGTCCAGGTCCTTAGTAAACTTCAGAGGAAGAACATGGAAATGATCTAGAAAAACAAAAATAAATAGCAAGAAATAAACTAGATTGCAAAAGGGGTTTGATAGAACTAAAAGTCTCTATTTAGCACTTTATGCTGTGCAGCACTGCAGTATCTAGGACCTCTGCTGCTCTCTGTTGTCAGGCATTCCATTTCTTTCTGTATTTTCATCATAACACCATCAAAATTGTGCCCAAAGACTAAAGAGAGGAGGAAGAAAAGGAAACAAAGCAGATTCACATACATGCTCTGGGCTCATAATGTTTCAGATAATTTTCCCCTAGCTCAATAAGGGAGTATTAAAAAGAAGTCATTGGTTTCTTTTATTTGAAATTATAATGTACCAATGGATTTTATTCTCACTGAATCATAAGCATGTGGGGGTTTTTCCACTACACGTTTCTGTTTTCTGTATAAAATGAATACGTTAGTCCATAAATTAGACACGAAAATAAGAACAAAAATTATATTGCAAAGGCTAACTATTTCCCTCTTTGAAGAAAAAATAAAAAAAAGGTACAATATTTCTTTGGATATTGTCAAAAATATCTGAAATACTAGAAATGGGATGACCCTCAGAAAGAAGTCTCTAAAATCTTCCCTTTCTCCCTACAGGATCCTTGGATGAAAACCTAGGGAACTTAATGCAAAGCAGGGATAGAGAATCTCTGGAATGCACAAGTCAAACCTGCTTCCCCTCACTATTTCCAACAGAATTTTATTTAAACATGGCTTTCTTTTTCAAAAGTTTCTTTATTTTCTTGATGGCCAGTACTTTCATGCTCTTGATATCAGGATTGGCAAAAGAAGCACTGGAATGATAAAGCCATTGATGTATTCACACTAAGAGAGTTATACTTCTAAAGATTTCTTAAAAAGCTGATGCATTTATAAGTGGCAATATAAATATTATATCCATTTATCCTTGAAAATGAGAAGGTTCATAAAAGCTCCATTTAGCATATGTGGGGGTTTTGCCATTATTTCAAAATAGTAAGTATAATAAAAGCAAAAATAACAGAATCTTCTTCAGACAACAGAGATGTATCACGTCTTGTATTGCATGATAGCTGAAGGCTTTTAGCTCTGCATTAAAATAAAAGCTTTTCTACTTATCACAATTCCCACATGTGACAGCACAAATACAAATGTAAATAATTTCCCAGCACTGCATTTTCCACAGTATATTCTGCCTTGTCACTACATAATAAAACACAAAAAAGCCACACCAGGACACATTATGGAACAAGAGCTGAAGGGTTATTTGATAATTACAGCAGAGCTATATTTGATCCAAAATCTCAGATAAACATCAAGGTAACAGTGATATATTGTGATGAAAGGCAATTATTTGACATGGTTTTCAGTGCTGAGAGCAAGAGCATTTTAGTTTTGTTTTTTTTTTCAGAAGTATTTAGACTACTTTACTTATAAATTCTGGGAAGCTTTCTAGTCACTGGCCAAAATACAACTCAAACACATATAGCATTTGGGAACCACAGTAACATTTAAAATAAGCAAAGGAAAATGTTTGACTGTTGAGCTTTCTGGAGTTATTTAGTGACTGTTCACGCCTCTAATTTTAACAATTAAATCTGGCATTGGATTTAATTTTACAATAGGTTCACTTGTGGTAGGGTTGGTTTTAGACATCCAATAAAATTACATATGAAACAAAAAAAAGGAAAAAGACTAATGTCTTACCAAAAACATGGACAACTTTTGAGTCCTGAAGCATAGAGCTCCCACAGGAAACTTGCACTGTAACTCTGACATCACCTGTCTCAGCAAACTTTGTCACCAGAAAATTCTCCAATGTAAGCAGTGGCTTCAAAAAAAACAAAGAACAGTTGGAAACAGAATTTCAGCAAGAACCATGAGAACAGTGCTGAAAAAGACTGTTGATAAAATATCACCAAAAAAATTTCACATAAAATTTAAATTTTTCAATATTTTATCAAATCGATCAACTACAATTTTCAATACAGAATTTTTCTTTCCTTGAAAGGATATTATACTATCAAGCAGCCAGATGAGGAAAATATTTCTTTTAGAGTAATCAGTCAAGTATTAGGTTTTCAGTCAGATCCCACTAAAATTAATGGAGTCTGAGTGAGACTCAACAATCTCTACAAGATTATATGAAGCAACTCATTTGCCTCAAAAAATGTAGGGTATGTCAGGGTCAAAAGGATTAATGATGTTAACTTAGAGCATCAGCCCACAGTCACCTCTGAGGTGGAGTTGAGATACTCTGCTCCCTGACCACATCCTTAAGAATGACAAAACCCTTCACAAGACCCTCAGTGCCTCTTCTTGCAATGGCAAAGTCAATAATGATGAACAGATACAGGCTGGGATTAGGGGAGACAGCACATTCACAAGAAGAAAGTTCACTGCACTTATCTGAAGCATTCCTCTGTCACACTTAGTCTGCCTCATAAAGAAAATATCTTATCTTTTATTTAAAAAATGACCTTAAAAGAAATTAACCCAGCTATACAATAAATACTCCCCAGCAGAAATACTTGGATATTTAATGCTCTAGGACATGTATATAGACTTCGGTCCACAAATGAATAACACTAGATTGTTTGAGTGCTCTCAATGTTTTGATATCCTTTAAGATAACACATTTATTTTTGATATGACAGTTATTTTAGACTCACAGAACACATTTATCTATACAATGAAAAAAACCCAAACAACCTATACATATATTTGTTCAGCACTTCAATTTACATCAGTTGCTATTAGCTTGGAAATGCATAAATCTAAGTTTCATCATTCACCAGTTATGATCCCAAATCCATTCCCCTCTAAAAGTTGGGTTTTTTCCACAGGTAATGAAGTATAAGAAAATGTTGTTTCCCCCCACAAAGCAAACAGTTTAAAATTTGAAAGAAAGGGAAAACCTTTATTGGAAAGAGATTGAAATTATCTCTTGAAATAATCAAAACCATTTGTGTACCTGAAGATTGTTTCCTATCCACCAGTAGAAAACTGTCAAATTAGGGTTCTTAGGCAGGATGATGGCTGTGAGGTTCACCTCCTGGTTTCTCCCAATGACTGGAACCACTTCTAAATTTAAAGCCTGGAGTGGGGCTGAACAAAGTTCCAAAAACATCACTGAACAAGAATCCATCAATTTATTAACACCTCCTTCCCCAAAAGCCTCCCACCTGTTCACCATAAGGTCCTGAATTCATTTTTCCCTCCCTCCTTTCCTTCCTCTTTTACGTCCATATTGAAAGCTATGGACATAATTGGAAAGACCTCATTTCAACTACAAAACATCCCCCAGATGACCCCAAAACCCCTCAAACCATATCTTAAAGCAATAAGACATATTAACAAAATGGGCTTCTCTCATGGCCCATTCGTTTCATTCATGTCCAATTCCAGACACATAAGCAAATACTCCAGTTAAAAACTGGAAAAGGCAATCTCAGCTTTTTTTTTTCCTTCTTTTTTTAAACTCAGTAACAAAAGATCAAATGAATAGAAATCTAACAAGTCTCAAATTGCTAAGGGATAATCAGAAAACTGAAAAAGAATGCTGCTGACTACTCATTTTCATTATAAAATATCAGCTGTTAGGCTCACATAAAAAATCTCATTAATTCATGCTTTAAATTAGAACTGTACATCAGGGGAGCATTTATTTGCAAATCAAAATAGATAACCTCTGGACTCCAAAATGTGCCTTAGAGTAAGTTTATTCCTTTCTGAACTACTAAACCCATAAACATTACTATTTGTTTAACAGAAATGCATCATTACAACGGTTTTATCTGCTTGTGTTATGTTTATTAGTGTTGTGCTGTTTCACAGTACAATAACTGTGTTGAAAGAAAATCTTTCCCTCAGAGGTTTCCCAGTATATCTTTATCAGAATGTCTGAAGGTAAAAGCTTTTTAACAGCACAATGTGGTAACTAGAATTTCTTAACTTCTTCACCTGCACCAAAAACCTGGGATATGAAACCACTGTAGAGCTCAAAATTCATTCCTCACATAGAATGAATACTAACCCATCTATTTCTTCTCCATTCTAAATATCTTTTAACTCATTCAAAGGTTTTTCATCTCAGTGCAAATTTAATAGTAATTAACACTGGTCTAAAGTATTTCTCTTATTTTGTATCAGGGAGTGAATCATTGCTGGTTCACTTTTAATTTCACTTTGACTAAACTGACTGAACTTCTGAGAGCAAGTTGTCCAAAGCCCTTTTCCACCTCACTTCACTTGATCTGTGTGGTGCTTCATCTGAATGTAAAGCACTATTTCATTCTGCATTTTCTCCAATAAATCTCTAACCACCTGCATGAATTCAAAAATGTTGGGTGCTTTAACAAATTATTCCTTCAGTAGCTTCCAGAGGAGTAAAAATGCTTCTCTGGTGATGGTGTCTTGAAGAAAATCCAGAAATGTTAGGAATTTCATTAAATTTGTTCCTCCTAGAAATATATTTCCCTTCTCGAAGGATCTGAGAAACCTTTTAGCTTCTGCCATAAATCTGTGTTTTCACAAAGGAAACAGATTACTTTGAGATATGGTTTTGTTCCTGAAGAAGATTACTTTCTTTTCCAAACTTTTTAGAGGCCAAGTTGCTTGGTACTTGAATGATGACTGTAATTTCAAGGTTGTTCTTTCTATATATTAAAGAGCTGAGAATAATTACTGCAAATCTTTATGCTTGTCTCTGTTGCACAATTCCATAATGCATTTGAACAAGCTTCATAGCACCCTTAAGTGTGTACAATTAAGACTGAAGTTATATGATTTCTATTTAACTAAGTTAAAATTTCAATAGTTTCCAAAGTTCCACACTATACAGGTCATGGTTCCATGAAAAATAAAATGCATCCAGCATATGTATTAATGGATGTATGCAGTTCTTCTTTAGTTCTTTTTATTCTGAGTTCTTGGGCCTCTACAGTTGCCTACTCACATTTTTGCTAATTCTAATTTCTAATTTCTCTTGCAGTTCATTAGAAAGTTGTAGGTTGTTTAATCTGGATAAGAAAGTATGATTTGCACTACAGGCAAAAATTCTTATAATTGTCCTGCATTACAGAGTATCACATAGCAACCTGGCAGAAGTGAAAAGATTTCCTCTACCATTTGCCTCTGAAAAAATTCCCTGGGAATAATGCATCAGTTGAAGACTGCTGACTCCTGAAAGAAGAATTCTACAGAGGCCCCTGCTTTCATGGTATTCCACAGTGAAAAATGTCTCTTAATGGCTATCAGTGTTTCACTAAAACGTAGAAATTGCAGTTTAATTAGTGCCAACTAATTTCCTCAAATCTTGTAATTTACCTAAAAAAATTAAACAGAGCTAATCACGTGGAAAGCATTTACTCAAGTAGGCTGTGTAACACACTTCCATTCTGCCAGTCCCTGTGCAGCATCCAGGGGCAGGAAGGGATCACATGTGCCCCAGTGCCCTGCTGTCTGCACTTCAGCACCAAAGCCCCCCTAATGCACCACTCATTTACTTGTGTAAAACAATTCTGCTTTCTGCAATTTTAAAATCTGCTGCATAAAAGACAATCTACATATTTTAGTTTTACTGTTTATTCTAACATAGGCCATGCTAAAAGCACACTTTGAGAAAGTCTTCTGCTTTCCATCAGGGCTTGCTACTGCTTGTCATTCTCTGAAGGGTTAGAAGTTATTCTTGGAGAGAAGAACGTCACACAGAGTTTTTTCCTGTTCATTGCTTGTACAGATCTATTATTTCTTTGCCTACTCCACTTCTCAGCACCTAGAAGCTTCTCAAATGTAATAGTGAAGCCCTAAGTAATTTATCTGACTCTCTGGAGTTGTCAAATTATTTAAAAAACAAACACAACAAAGAAACAGATAATGAAACTGAGTTGTAAAATTTGATTCAGATTCTTTCTGCTTGATAATAACAGGAGACTGGTCTTCAGCATGAATGTGTTTGGCTTTGTCTGCTACTCAAAGAAGAACTGGAAACTCTGAACTCAAGGACACACTAGCAAAATACAAAAATATCAGCAGTCACTAGACAAGCTGACATAAAGCAGATGGCTCTGTGCATAACCTGGTATATGGCTCCAGTGATTTCCACTGCTTTGGGATTAGGATGGAAGGCATACCACTGACAACAGAGGGAAACAGACACCTGGAGAATGCAAGATGACTATCTTTCCCTTTGATGTTACTCATTTCTGATTTTTTTTGACACATCTGAAAACAGGCAATAGCTGTCTTGAATCTCAAAGGAAGAGGAGAAATCAGTTCCACTTTTGAGTTTCCTTCTTCATTTCAGTTATAAGATGACTGAGGTACATTAAGCTTGCAATGGTGCATGATATTCCCTGGGCCATGCTATTCTTTATTTTATATCTGTTTGATTGGGTTTTCTCAGTCTTAATTAAGGAGAGGAAGAGAAATGCAAGTCAAGTAATACTGCTGGCAAACATGAAGTTATATCCAAGCACCATTTAAAACTCTGTGACAATTAACTACCTAAAATTTAGATTTAGAACCACTGAGATTTTGACTAATTTTTAGAATCATACAAGAACTCATATTTCCCAACACGTCTGTTAACTTGCTTTACACTGCACCTGGAAGCTGTACAAGGACATAGCTCAAAGTATTAAATTTTAGCTGCTAAGGCTGACAAGGGGTGTTGAATCAGGAAGATGGATCAAACCTGAAATTTATACTGAGGCATGTTTATTATTTAAAAGATTAATAAACCATCCTTCTGCCAAATCCAAACAAAAACTGACTCTGACCTCCTACTGGATTAGGTTTACAAGCCTCTGCATTAACAACACACAACACTGCAAGACTGCATGAGGATATTGAAAAAATACGGTCTTTCCTAATTATGACTAGCAATTTTCTTTCCTCTTTCATAGCTGACATGAGGTCTGTACACAGTGGCCAAAGTAAGAAAACCAAAGAGCTGATTTACAGTTGACTTGGACGAACACCACAGCCTCGTCATGCCCAGCCACGTTCTCAGCCTTGACGGAGACTCGGTAAATCCCGGGATTCTCGTAGCGGTGACGGATGGGCTCTCCAGTCATCGTCAGGTTCACGTATATCGCCTTAAAGCCGTCCCCAAGATCTACCTGGTATTTGGTACTCAATACATCACCCTAAAACGAAAACACATCAAAGATATCTGCAATGGTCACAACCAAAATAGACAGGACACATGTTTGTAACCTTTTAAGGAATTACAACAGCGTTTTCAGCCCCAGCCAGACATCTTGACCCAACTGCGACAGCTGCAGTAAAACCACTACTGCCATGGCAATTACTTTAGTGCAACAGATGCTGTGTGCACTAACAGAGAAAATACCATGTTTAGAGGGCAAGATGCTACCTTAAAATTATATACCCCAGACCACTGGCCAAGTTGTATGGCACAGAAACCATCACTCTTCTCTTAATGCAGCTGGACATTATGTAACATAATGGAGCAGGGCAGCCCCAGGTTCAAAAGTGCTGCTCATGTGATTGTAAGCAACTGAAGATTTAGCAATTTCCTACTCATCACACAAGCTTCTAGCCTTAGCAGTTATAAAGTAAAATTAATTGGCTTAGATGTTCTTCACATCAGTTTCCAGCCATACCTTCTCACTGTCAACCATGTGGCCTTAAAGACCCAAGCTGGGATCTTCACAGAGTTGTAGAGCATTACACTGAGCAACCAGCATGTTAAGAGTTAACACGCTTTAGCACAAAATTTGATGCATGCTTAATAAAGCAGAGTTTGGGAAATGGCTTAAAAGTCCAGTCAAATAATTCTATCATGTCAAATAGCTCATGGAATTTATAATTCATAATACTTCTCTTAAGTGTTCCTTTAAGTGACACTGTGCTCCTAAATTCAGGTGAGACAGAAACCAGCATTGAAAGACAGTAGAGGCAGGTTCTCTTAACATTTTATTCTATTAACTTCCCTAGTGTAAAGATGAGGGTGCTTTCTTCAAAATATCAAGGTATTTCGATTTCCTGACCAGTAAAGACAGAGTATGGAGACATAGCAAAACAGAGACAAAGGGAAAAGGCAGATAAATCTATAAGGAATTGGGACATCCACCTCCATAAAAAATAGAAGATTGTAATGACATTATTTTTTCATATATTCAGCCAACAAAATTTGGGGAAAATTACGACCATGATGGTGTATTTCTTTTTTATTATTATTTCTAAGGACAGTTGCAAACTGCCTAAATGTACCAGAAGCCTGCTTCCTTTCCTCTCTGATGTCTGGTATTCCTGCACCTAACAACATGCATTCACAGAAACTAACAAATTAATTTTGTTCACCAGAGAAAGTAATACGTTTTGGTCTGTTGTAGTAGAGCTGATTCTTAAACTCAGTAATTGTTACGAATTCTTATTTGATTTTGTCATACAGATTAAGTCCTAAGCAGTGCTCAGAACATTTGAGTTTAAATATTATTCTTAGCCATAGAGGGCACCAAACTGCTATATTTCTTCTAAGTCTGTCTTCCTCTTTGATGTATGGAGCAAAGACTTCACCAAAAGACACAGCAAGGGATTGTCTTCAAGATCCCTTATTTCTGGAGATTTTTGAATAATTTTAAATGTTTTTCATATTGCCACAGAGATTCATTAAAGCTTCAGTAGGAGGAAAGTCAAACTGCCAATCAAAATCATTAAGAGTCCAAATTGTAACCAAATGCTCTAGGCTTACAATAAACATTTCCAAACAAACTTTAAAAAGAGAAGGCAGCAGGACTTGCCACACAAACTGTTGGGGCACTGCACGCACTGGGACAGAGCCTGTGAGGCATTAAGCAGCCCAGTGTTCTGCACGTAACCTTCTTGATTCTATTACAGAAATAAATCCCAAGTGCCTGATTTCTACAGCACAGGTTTGCCAAAATGTGTGAACTTTCTTCAAATTCTTGCAAACCAGTGGGGTTAGCCAGGATTACAATACTCTGGTAACCTGAGCAGAGCAGTTATAGCTTAATGCTAAAAAACAAGCAAGAGAAAACAAACTCATGGCAAACAATTCGTCCAAGAGTTACTCGCTGCTGTTGGTCAGGGCCTTAGGGAATTGTCTCTCAATAAACAGAAATAAAACAAAACCCTGTATCTTTGGCAACACAACTAATATATAAAAATATTCTTATGCTGAGCTATTTGCTGATTTCTGTAAGGCTTTGCCTCATTCCTTTCTGAAAGGCTGATTCTCAAAAATATCTAAACCCAAGTATTAAATGTTCTCTCCATTTTTGTTCTTCTCTGATACAGCACTTGAAATTTTCAGTTCAAGATGACTTTGGTAATCCAGTTACTCTGACTTTCCAAGAAACCACTGCTTTTTCTGCTGAGGACAAATCCTACTCTGCGGGTGGAATTTGGAGGTTCACTGAGTTTACTGGCTTATCTTATTCACTTGAAATCACGTTTCAATATTTAGAAAGCTATTAATCTTTGCCTCAAGCACAAATTAATCTTCATTCAGCAGCAAAACAGGTAGGAATGAAACTAACCCTAAAATCAGCAATTCAACTTCCATGTAGCCAATGTTTATTACTACCTGCTCTTGTTGGACAATGAAGGTGATGTCTTCCCCAGGCCTTACAGCCAGACTTTCTTCTCTGATGCTGATCTGAAGTCCCTTGGGAGCAATCAATGGACACATATGGTGTGCTAAGTTCTGCTGCAGGTCTACTCCACCTTCACACACATTAGAAACAACTTTCCTGTACCTGCAAAAACAGTAAACAGTGGGCACAGTGAATTGGAGGTAAACAAAAGAATGCCAGCAAAGACACCAAATGCATGTGTGATTGAGGCTACTGCCTTTTCCTTGGGTTCACAAACAGAGAAGATTGCAAATGATCCAAGCCAACTAACAACACAAGTACTCTCATTGGGGGTACTTTCATTGCCTTTACTGGGGAAACCTGCTGAAGAAAGGGCGTGGAGCATGGGTGAGAATTTCACTTGCATGCATTAGAAGAGTCTGTGTTTTCCAACTTAGAAACATGCCTGTCTCGGGCACCTAGACAGTCTGCTGTTCTCTCTGTCATCCCCTTTTCTAGCATCCAAGTCTTCAATGCTCTACAGGTCTTGGTTCAAATCCCACAGATTGGGAAGAAATTAGACCAAACAGCTTCTACATTAACCCAGAACTAATTGCTTAACTGCTGCTTCCAAATCTCTTCATTTCTTAAAACACTTAAAGCATTTGTTTAATTCAACTGTATAAAAGAGTGAAAGGACTCACACTTTTAAAGTGCTAATAATGAAATGGTCGGATGTGTACAGTAATTATTTACAGATCACTTTCACACAGGTATGTCATTTTTAAACATCCTTTACAATCAGAGTTACATTTCATTCTTTTGAATTCCCACTCTGTATATCCCAGCTGTCATCCACAACCCAAAAGGCAACATTTTCCTCTGTAAGGTAAATATACACAGAGACTGTGATTCTATTGCCAGATTGGACATTTCAGCATTTGGTTCTCATCTCCACAACTGACTGTGATGGCGTTATGATAAGCCAGAAGAGATGCCAGCTGCAAGTTATTCTCAGCACAGACGTCAGACTACATTGTAGTGTATATTTTGTGCAGTATTGTTTATAGTTACTAAAGCTTTTCATTGATTCTGAGTGTCCCATATGGTCAGGAAAAGAATCTTTTCTCCACAGAACTCCTTACCCTTATGGAAGTGAGAAACCTGGAAATTCTGTGAGATGCTGTCTGTTCCTCAGATGGATCCAAACTGAAAATTACTCTGAACCCAAGAAATGAGCTAAAAGCCTCATGAACATTCCTATCAGAAGTGATAGGAATAGATACAAAATATTACCAAAAAATTAGACTTTTGAAAATACAGCTCACTCTCTTCTCAAATGGATTAGTTTTTAAACTGCTGTGAACACACAAAGCAATATTTCCCTTTCATTAGTCTGTAGGAAGTTTCTGTTCATGCTCTGTGTCAGAATCAGAACTTTTCCATTTCCCTGTTTTTACAGTTTGCCTAATTTACATTTCATAGAATCATAGATTGGTTCAGGTTGGAAGAGACCTTACAGATTATCTCCATGAATCCCCCTGTCATGGATAGGGACAACTTCCACTAGATCAGGTTGCTCAAAGCCCCATCCAACCTGGTCTTCAACACTTCCAGCGATGAGGAATCCCTAGTTTCTGTGGGCATCCTGTGCCAGTGTCTCACCACTCTCACAGCAAAGAAATTTTTCTATTATCTAATCCAAACCTTCACTCCTACAGTTTAAGGCCGTTCCCCCTCGTCCTATCACTACGTGTCCTTGTGTAAAGGCCCTCTCCAGCTCCCTCATAGACTCCATTTAAGTATTTAAATGTGAATTTCTTTCAAACTACATTTGAGGCTGCTGCTTGAAATATTCTACCCCTCTCTGGAAGCCTCATCAAGCCCATGAAATGCAAATTCAGCTTACCCAGTGCTGCTGGTGTATGCCTGCCCCAACACACAGTCTTCAGGAGGTGCTTCTGGGTTAAACCAAAAGTCAGCAAAGCATTTGCTGGACTCCAGCTTCAGAGGTGCAGAGCGCTCAAACCCGTAATCACTGAAAAACATCAACACCAAACATGTTACTACCCCCACTTCACTCTGCAATCCAGTTTGGGGTGAATGAAACTACATTTTTCAAAGTCAATATATTTTTTTCAGTGTTATTCTACTAGATGAACATACAAGTTGATGAAGACAATTCTGTTCTAATTTCAGTGGGAGTTGTGTACACTTGGGGGAAAAACTGATAGCAATTACTTTGTCAGTTCTGCAAAATTACCTCCCTTGGTAAAAAAAGACTTTTTTAAGGTTTCCTTTGACACTCAGACCAACCATTTCGTTTGTTTTTGTTTTTTTTTTTTCCTTTAAAATTAATTCAATGGTCATTTTTCAAGTCTTGATCAATAGAGAAAAACATCAGTATCTGTTCAGTCAGGTGAAACAAATACTTAAACATAGCAAAATTTTTAAACAAATGCAAATGTAAGAGAAAGCTGTTATTCAATAACAGGTTTTTCATTTGCTTATACATGGCTATGGGAACAGGAGCAAAAGGAGGAAAATAAACCTATCTCAAACTCTATGTAAATATTTATTAGAAATCAGTCAAAAGACTCAAAGACAGACTCACCATAAGAAATCAGTGTTCACACATTCACAGACTTTGGATGTGAGAGCTGATGTGAAACTTTTCCCTTTAATGCACCAAGATGAAATCTTCCTCTTCCGAAAGCTTCTCTGCTGGCCCATGATGCAACGATCACCCTGAACATCAAAGCACTGGACTTATTGTAACAGAACCTCCACAAACAAACCTTGTGCTGTCCTGAGAAAGGCTGCTCTTGCTGCCAAGACTATAAACCTTATCAACCCTCTGATATCAGATCTACAGGTATAGAAAGCCCTCATACCCACTGCTGTCCACCAACATGTCATTACAGAGTTGTAACAGAGGTTATATTTCCAGGACACAAATCTGAAGATGCACATGAAAATGCAAGTGCAATTTATGTTTCATGAGTGCCCAACCTGTGTGCAAAGCTCAGAATGGCCATTTAAAAATTTCATCTGGCTGAAGATTGCTGAATTTCTCTAAATCATCATATCTCATGTTGGCCATCAATTTGAAGCACCAACCATGAGGACACAGAATGAACTCTCTCCATACACTCTCCACTGGTAAATGGGCAGCTGCAAGTACTCAGTCAAAGTCATTTTAGTAGTTTCTAATTTCTGAAAGATAATTCAATGCCAAGATACCCCAAGATACTGTTACTCTTTAGGTTCAGATCTGTGTAACATTCTTTGTAGACACACAGCAGTCCCAAACAGGAGGTGTAGAATTAGGCATGAGAATTAGAAAAAGAGAGCTGGAGGAAAACTGAGTAGTATGCAAAAAATAAACCAACCCTGGTGGAAGAAGTAAAACATAAAAATCAGAATGATTATGAATAAATATGATGTGTTCCATTTAATAAAAAATCCCACCACATATTGGTCTCTTTAATCAGTACTTTGTACAGAGAATTTAGCTTCTGAAAAGTGGATTTGGCCAGAGCATCATGATTAGCACAGCCTTAATGCACTATGCAGAAAGGGTATTGCCCAAAACAACTGGACTCCATTACACAATTGGTCCACTGAGATCCTAAATTACTTCTGGAATGGACTTCATTTATGGCAATTTATATATGAGTATGGTATGTGGTCAGGAAGTTGGCAGAACATGACTGCATGTTGAAATTGTTTCAATCAATATTACACACTTCACTTTATGGGACATGCTTCCCAACCCAGCAGGACCACCTATTATTATGGCAGCCCCCCAGCTATACTTCTGCCTTTTTGGGACACAGATCACAGAACCAAAGGGAACACAAAATCCTCTCTGACGTTAAACTCCAGCGAAATCAGCATAAGGAGACTCAGCTGTGGGTGTAGCATCCGAGTTCAATTTGGAAACATTTTCTTAGCACACAACTCCATATGAATCTGAAAGCTATGGAAAAATGTTGTCGATTAACATAAAACCATGAATACCTGCAGATTTGTGAGCTCCCAAGACTCATAGTCTTCATCAGTGCACTCCCTGGGGAAGGATGGTCTGAAGTCCACCTTCACCAGTTCCCAGTCTGAACGGTAGCTGATATGTCCAAAGACTCTGAACAAAAGACCAAACGGAAACTCTTACTGCAAAGAAATACCATACAGCTGAGATTCAAAATTTCAGTCTTATCTTTTCCTATCCACAGTCGTAGTTCTCTGCTAAAAGGTCCCAGGTTAATTTTTCTTCCACTTTTATTCCTCTTCTATGTGCAATGAGTCTAGTTAGGAAAAATTTGTCAATTGTATGAAACTTTACAATGAAGAGATATAACTCATATGTTAAAGGTTTTTTTCCCTAGCAAACTGTCCAGAAATTAAATAGGGAATAATATTTTCTAATTTGGAATAAAAATTTTTGTCTATTATCTTGCTATGTGAAACAGACAGATCTCTCAGATTTTAACAGGAAGCTCAGATCAGGGAGCAGAATCCCAGATCACCAGAGTCAGTTCCCAGCTCTGTTGCTCATTCCTTACGATTTGCAATTTCTTCAGTTGTTTTTCTTGTGGGATTTTGTGTTAATTTCTACAGTCTTCAGATGGCAATGTGCTAGTGTTAAACTCACAGCATTATCATGATATTTGATTAATTTCTAAGGAATACACTACATCTTCACAGTGTGCTGGAGAATTCAGAGTCTCTTCTTCATTTTAGATAGCTCAATGTATAACATAAACCAGCCACAAGTGGTATAATTTTTGTGTGGGGGGGAATAAAAAAAAAAAGGAAATCTCATTGCTTTAAAAAACAAGCTGCACTTTCAAAGCAGACAACATTTTTTAATCAGGATCTTTATTTCCAAAACAAAATGGGAACATATGACATCCAACAACAAATTAGAAAGGATAAAGATTTTTTTTGGGCAAAAGTAAAATGTATTTGTGGTTTGTATCAGGCTTATGTGACTTACTTGCCAAAGAATTTAAGGTTAATTCTGAAGCCAACAATTTCTGTGCTGTTCATACTGCACAGAGTTCATATTCCAAGCTTTAGTATCATTGTCCAAAGTAATTAATTCCTTTTGCTTTGCCCTCAGTTTTGTCCAAATCCAGGCACAGCAGGAACAGTAGAGTTTTACTAAAATCATTCTGCAGTGCCCAGTAATTTCTCTTGTCCTGAAATCTACCAAAAAGGCTGAAAAACAGTTCACAGAGGCTAAAGATGTGCAGTGATTTCCCCCTTTCCTTTCTGATATCTTTGCTTCTCTTCCATAGCAGAGAGCTGTAGATATCAATGGGTTATTGCTCACACTGCTCCCATTATAATGACTGGACAACCCATGCTCACAGGAAACCACACCACAAGCCGTGCAGTTAATTAAACACAAACATATGCATTTAGTTTGTATTTCTTACTCTTTTCTTTTAAGGCTCTGAGATTAAAGGACTTGGATCATCTAATTCCTTTCCTTCTAAACATACTTATGGCTCAGAAGTAGATGCAATGCACACAAACTAAGAAATGTGGCTCAGTTCACGGGCTGTATGTGCACATAGGTGTGTGGTCCCATTTCTCTCATTGAGCCTAAGGGTTTGCTTCTTTTTTCTGGTTCAGCTGGATCCTAAGAGCTGCTGTCACCATATAATCTTATTCACTGGTAGTTACATACTCAATAAAGTGTCTACTTAGGTGGTCTCTTGCTTTTTCCACAATGCCTGTTTCAATATGACTGGGTTTGCTGACAGACATGAAGTGTCTTTTGTATGCAAAATGTCCTGTACCTTTTTTCTAAAATCTTTGTTTCTCCATACAAGGTACTAACAGAAGGCAGACTTCACTATGTGCTTATGCAACTACCAACCTCAGTGATTGCTGCTCCAGGCATCACAAAACTTCACAAATTTACTACATTTCTTTTATTAAATCATTCATAAAAATATACATGCAAGTGCAAGTAGCCAAGACCTGTTAAAGCTTCACTCCTGCCTCAAGAAAAGTATTTTCTACAGAACAAATGAAATTTCCTCCATTCGTGTTAGCTATCTCAGGCAGATTAGTCAAGGAAAGGGGAAGAAAGGAGATGGTGTTTTGAGTTCAAGGCAGAACAGAATAATGACATTCTCCTGAAACATAATCTCTGAACTATTATTAATCATCTTTGAAATCTCAAGAGGATGATTCCAAATAACTATGGCAAGGGAAAGATGTTGCTTATATATACAAATATGCACACACAACCAGACATACACAGTTATGTGTGTACACAGAACCAGAGATATAAAAGAGCAAAACAGAGCTCAGAGAGTTAGAGATTAATTTTGATATCCACAGAGATACCAAAAAATTATTGAGCTATCCACTTCTAAGCACCTTGGAGATAATTAAAATGATAACAAACAGCTACCACGGATTTATCAAAACCAAATCATGTCAAACTAATGTAATTTTCTCCTTTTACAGGGTAACTGGCTTAGTGGATAAAGGAAAGAAAAAAAATGTAGCATATTTTGACCTTTGTTAAAACTGTTTCACATTTCTACCTGACATTGTCTCAATGTAAAAAAGAAAACAGTGCAGATAAAATCACTGTGAAGAGGAATGGAAATACATATTGAATTAGAAGAATTCATTTTCAAAAGGTAGTTATCAAATAAAGAATATTTTGAGATATGTATCACAAAGATATGATGGGTCCACAGTCAATATTTTCATTAAAAATTGTGATCAAATAAGAAAGGCAAAAAATTTTGCCGGTAACACACAAAGAAGGGAGTGGACATGATGGAAGCAATGTTCAGAAATCAATATGATGACATACTCCAAAACCAAGCAAAAAGTACTCCTTGGGAAAAAAGAAACCCAAACCCATATCAAAGGTGGAAACAAAATGGAAAATAACTTTCAAATATCAAATAAAAGACTTGGGTTATTCTATGGAATTAAAACAAGAATGAAGTGTTGTTGCAAAATAAGGAAGACTAATTCTAGCTTGTATTCAGAACTCAAAAACAGAAGACATGGAGGTAATTATTTTGATAAACTTGGCACTGGTAAAGCCTCTGGAATAATATTATGTCTAATTTTGGATTTTATATGCATATTTACAGACCCACTAAAAATGAATTTGAAGAGGGGCAAAATGACTCATAAGCTGCTTACAAAATGTAACCAATGAAGAATGATTGAAAGAATTGGGTTTTTCACTGGAATAGATAAAGCTGTACAACAAAATGTTTGCAGAGTTTTGTTATAGAGTAAAGAGCTGTGTTCAAAGAGACCTAGAGGAAGGGCAAGAAGACCAAGGACAAGGATCAATTTAAAAGATACTGCCACATTATTCTCTAATTCCTTCTCCTCAGTACTGGTGAGTTTACATGTGAAGTGCTGGGTCCAGTTCTGGGCTCCCCAGTACAAGAGAGAGATGGAATGACTGGAGGGAGTCCAGCAAAAGGCTGTGACTGAAGGCGACGTTCTCACAGAGCATAGTACCGACACCAGTGCTCCCAACATTCCCTGGCTTAAATAAAATCCTAAAGATTTAAGAAAGTGTCCCAATACAGTCACAAACTCCATTAAAAATGCAGACACACAGCTTTGTAACTCCTAGAGAAATTTTTTCAAGGAATGAAGCATTTTACACACATCAATTTCAGCAAACTGTTTGAAAAAAAAAGTCTTAATGATTATTAATGCTGTTGCTGCAGTAGCATGTGTTGCAGACACCTTACACGAGCACATTTAAATGTGCTGCTAAAGATAACTAGAATAAAAAAGAAGTATTTTTCAAAGTAACTAAGGCAGGTATTAAGTAGGATTCAATGGATTAGACAAAAATATGAGCTACAATAAAGCAATACATAACAGCAATCACAATATAATTGCTCGTGCAAAATATATAATATATATGATGAATAAAATAATATGAATAAAAAAACCTGAAATGGTACAGCAAGTGTAACTGATGACTAGAAGTTATATATCAAGATGATAGCGATTCATAAGCTACTAAAACCTTCCTCTTGATTAACTATATTTCATTAGAAAGCCATCAAATCAATTCTGTTGAAACCATAAAAGATGATGCTGTGATAAATAATTTTTGGAAGAAATTCCAATTACCTTGGAAATTAATTTACTTTTATTTGCAAGGACTTAGGATCCATAATTTTAACTTCAGTGTTTCAGTTGCCATAACAACTTTGTACATTTGTTCCTAGTTCATTTATGAGCACATAATTTTTTAATTTGATTGCATCATTTGATAGATAAGACAGTTTAATGCAGTTTTTAAGCTAACTCATTTAAACTATTTGCTGGAGGATTGCTAGTTATTTCTGTTCCTGATAAAGCTCATAATCAGGCAGAGTTAATTTAACAGAAATTATATGCAATGATAATCTTTTCCAGTAAATTCTGTTCAATAGACAAGACCTATTCAATAGAGATTCCTTGCTCAGGTGAGCAGTAGTAGCTGGGTCATCTCCTGTCCCTGTGTTTTTCTTTACTCATGAATACCTGAGAACACTCAAAGACCTCAGCGTGGTGGGAGTGATCCTGCAGGATTTTCCCACCAAGGTCACAAAGGTCACGTGGGGAATTTATTCAGATGTTTAACGTAGCGACTAAAACTGTGCAACTATTGCAGTTGTGCTGAGGACTACAGATAACAATTGTGTGATGCACAGTCCCCGTGTTTGAAATCAGAAGCCTCTTTCATGCTAGACTCACTGCCTTAATCTCCAAGTGCTGCACTGGCTTTTGCTCTCCTCTGTATGAGTTTGCCATCAGCTGTGATGTTCGGAACAGGACACTGCACAGTGTCTGCACGGTGATGAGCTGCCCTGTTGGCATACTCTGCTAACTTCGTTTGCCACTTGGGGGTGGCCTCCAGTTTTTTTGAAAGAGACTTCAAAAGTATAGAGCTACAGATAGTAAAGCCTAGGATTTGAATCAGGGTTAGTTGAGGGCCCCACATACAGGTGAGATGGGCAATCTCAAGGGCTCTCTCTTGGATAATATGTCTAAATTACTCTGGAGAGCACCTAAACAAAGCTGTCCAAGCATGTACCCAAAATTCTTTACAGAGCTAAACCTCAGCAGCTAACAGTCAGTATA